ATCCTATGACAGATGGGAAAACTGAGGTCTCTTGAAATATTCAAACAGCTATAACATGAAAGAATGTTTAGGTTTGTTCTGCATGGCCCCAAGGGGCAGAACTGAAAGGGGTAGATGATGAAAAGATGAAAATGTGGGGTTGGGGAAATAACTTAATAATAATTAGAGCAGTTGGACAGTAGAATGAGGTGCCCTGGAAGTCATAGGTTCCCTCTCACTGCAGGTCATTGAGTAAAGGGCCAGAGCCTTACCTCAGGGTTCCTCACAGCTAATATAACATGATATCTGAGGTGGGATTTATTAGCTCTGATGTCAGTCAGTCAATAAGTATTTATTAAGCACCTACTGTGTGTCAAGCGCCATGATAAGACCAGTGGTGTACTGATAAGTGTTTAATAGCCAACTCTATAGAGGTGGGGGTGGGGTGGGTGGAGAAATGTCACAGAAGTCTAAACGATTGTTATTAAGTCATGTCCAACTCTTCATGACTCTGTATGGGGTTTTCTTGGCAAGGATGCTGGAGTGATTTGCCATTTCTTTCTCCAGTGGATTAAGTTAAACAGAGGTCGAGTGACTTGTCCAGGATCACACAGCTAGTGAGGATCTGAGGCCAGATGTGAATTCAGGTCTTCCTGACTCCAGTGCTGTAGCCATTGAGCCACCTAGCCGCTTCCTCTAGATGACTGACAGAATCACAAATCAAGTCCTGATTTGCAACGTTTGCCACTTTCCAAGATTTAAATGCTCGCTGTGGAAATTTACCAGTTGACTCCCAGGAGCATATAAGAGCTAACCCCAGCACACCCCTGGCGAAGTCCAGCTCCCAGCTTTGGCTTCTGAGTAAACTAAATTGGCATAAGCAATTAGAATAGGAAAATAGTAGAAACAGTTTATTCTTTATGGAGATCACTGATGCTTGGTTTACAAGTGGTGTGATCATCAAACAGGTTATGTATCTAATAGCATTAGAACTATGTGGACAAGAGTTTGTGAAGCTGTCCCGTGTGTTGGGGGAAACCCTAGTTTAATCAAATTCTGAGGATGCACAGAAAGATTGCTGACCATTGTCTCGTTCCCTAAATATGTGCCCTAAAGCCATATGGGAAGAATCACTATCCCTTGGTAGTACAGTGAAACAAATCCTGAATTTGGAGTCAGGAGACCTGGTTTCATGTTCCAACTCCAACCTTATCAGCTGTGTGAATGTGAGTAAGTCATACATGGCTGGGGTACAGTGGGAGGTAATTTGTGTTTGTTACATGCCTTTGTAATCTTTCTGAGCCTCAGTTTTCTCATCTCTGAAATGGAGATAATAATAGCTCACCTTTATATGGCATTTTATGGTTTCCAAAGACATGCTTATCTCATTTGATCTTTATAGTAACCCTGGGGAGAAGGTGTTATTATTATCCCCATTTTATACATAAGGAAACTGAGGGCCAGAGCCTTACCTCAGGGTCCCTCACAGCTAATATAACATGATATCTGAGGTGGGATTTGAACCTAGGTTTTTCTGAAGCCAAGTTCAAGGTTCTGTCCATGATGCTACATTATCTTATGAGATTGTTGGGAGGAAAACCCTTTTTGAACCATAAAGAGAGAGAGGGAGAGAGAGAATGTGTGTGTGTGTGTGTGTGTGTGTGTGTGTGTGTGTGTGTGTGTGATTTCATTGGTATAAGGAACTCCTTCTAAGAGAACTCTACCAATACTAACTTCACTTAGAGGCTTAGAGAAATCGCACAGCCTAGATGTGTCAGAGGCAGGACTTGAACCCAAGTTTTCATGACTCAAGAACAGTAAAACAGTTCTCTCTCTCTCTCTTCTCTCTCTCTCTCTCTCTCTCTCTCACACACACACACACACACACACACACACACACACACACACATACTCTTTATATAGTAATGATATTAATGTGGAATTATATCTCTAATCCAATGGCACCTCAAATCTGAACCAAACTGTATGAACTCTGAAATTGAGTGGAATGAAAGGTTAGTACCTACTCTAGAGTGACTAGAACCAGTTATGATTAATTAGAAAGGGCTCTTAGAGCAAGATGAGTCTTCGTTATTTGGCATCATCTGGCATCATTTGGAATACATTTGGCAGAGAAGCAAGAAGCTATTAAAAAAACAGAGAATGTTGGGAAAACTTTTTTTTTTAATTTGCTTTTGGCTAAGAGCAATAGAAAGGCTTTTTCTGCCACAGGTTAGAGGGGAGAATTGGGCTTAACAAATCGCCATGATACTCTGCAGAATAGTATCTCATTGAATCTGTTTCCCTTCATTTTACTCCTAATACAAGCGCAAGAAATTCAGACTCACTGCTTGGCATTTAAGATTATGTCTTACCAAAGGCAAGTATTTCAGCAATAACTATTTAATTCATACCCTCAAATACCTCTTCCTGGATATATCTAAATAATTACCTTTTCCAGATAATTTCCCTAATTCTCCACTTCTCTTTCCATACTTAGAAATAGCCTGAATTTCCCTGAAGTAGTTTTTTAAAAGCTACCACCAACACATGATATTAAAAGCCTATTTTCTGTAGTTATTATAATTAGAACTTGCAATTATTGGGAAAATTGAATTATTCTTCCCATTAAAATTATGCTGGTTTTTCAGATGACGAGATATCAGATTGGCCAGAGGAGCTTTGGGGAAACATCAGTGAGATATATTATTAAGCTTTCATTTATGAGCAAACTCTCCTGTAGTTATTATCTTTACATTAACTTAAATAGGAATGCTTTTATGTAAATAAGGTATGAGCCAGCCCTTTGAGTCAGCAATACATGCCAGCAGTTAGAAAATATAGGACGATTTGCAGATAATGCATTTCATATTAACCCATTGTGGTTTCTGTTCTATGCCCAGGAACTCACTTTTCTCTTTTTTGGAAGTGTACTAAGTTAGGTTATTTCAAAAATCTCTATTAAATCCATGTGCAGAGATTGACTTTTTTCCATCAGTTTGTATTACATTGTTTCTCATCTAATCTTTGAGGTGGTTTTCATCATTACTAGCACCATTTACTTTCAATTTCTACTGTGATAGGGGGCAGCTAGGTGGCACAGTGGATAAAGCACCAGCCCTGGAGTAAGGAGGACCTGAGTTCAAATCCGGCCTCAGACACATGATACTCACTAGCTGTGTGACCCTGGGCAAGTCACTTAACCCCAATTGCCTTGCAAAATTTTTTTTTAAAAATTTCTACCATGATAGAGAAGTTTAGGAAGATTTTCAAGTTTCACTGTCAAGGAAAAGGCCCAACAAAAATGTTTGCCAAAACATGTGTCTATAATCTTGTCACTATGATAGAAAATGTTTTGGGGACAAATTAGTAATGAATTTAGTACTTACAGTGCTACTTTCTTAATGCGAAAACAATTTCCTCATCTTCCTTCACACAACAATATCTTGAGAAAACATTTATTTCAATGCAAATTTTCTCTATGAAGGAAATTTTCTAGGCCAAATCTGATTGACAGGTTATCCCAGTCAGATGCATACCCTGGCATGTCTTAAACATTCAGCTTAGCACTATGTAAGTAAGGCCAATTCCTCATCTGTAAAATAAATAAGTTAGACTAAATGGCCCCTGAAGGGTCCTTCCAGATTTACGAGGTTGGCTAATGATCTGTCTTTAACATTCTTTCTACCTCTATATAAGCTAGCAATATGGAAAAGTAGGGTATATTTGGTGACCTCCTTTGGAGGTTTTCTTGGCGAAGATACTGGAGTGGTTTGCCATTTCCTTCTCCAGCTCATTTTACAGATGAGGGAACTGAGGCAAACAAGCGACCAGATTTGAACTCAGGCCTTCCTGACTCCAGGCACAGCACTCTATCTGCTTTGCCAGGCTACGGTTTTAATTGACCTCTTGCCCCAAAACAGAAACCCAGTTGCCAGGTGTGTCTAATCTCCATGAAAATCAAAGAATCCATTGTCAACCAACTTTGAAAAATGAAACCTTCTACCTAGACAACTAGGTGGCACAGTGGATAGAGTGTTGTACTTGGAGTTAAGACCTCAGTTCAAATCTAGCCTCAGGCACTTACTAGCTATGTGATTTTGGGCAAGTCACCTAACTTTTGTCTGCCTCAGTTTCCTCATCTGCAAAATATGGGTAATAATAGCACTTACCTCCAAAGGTTATTGTGAGGATAAAGAAAGATAATTTTTGTTTAAAAAAAAAAGCATTTGGCAAACCTTAAAAAGTGCCTCATAAATGCTAGATATTATTAAGCAACATTCTCCATCTTTATCTCCTTTGTCTTCAGTGGCAGTCTTTTAAATATGTATATGCATATACATATATATGATACATATATAGATATAGATATTATACACACATTTATTTTAGGAAATCATAATTATAGTGGTACATAGATAGAGCCCTGGGCCTGGAGTCAGAAAGATTCTGAGTTCAAATCCAGCCTTAGACACTTACTAGCAGTGTGACCCTGGGCCAATCCTTTAAACCCTATTTGCTTCAGGTCCTCATCTGTAAAATGGGTACATACCATAGAAGGAAATGGCAAGCCACTCCAGTATCTTTGCCAAGAAAAGCTGATGGACAAGTCCATGGGGTCGTAAAGAGTCGGACATGACCAAACAGTGGCAATTATAAGTTAACTAAAAGAAAAGGCTAGCACGCTAAAAGAAAGCCCGGTGCTTGGCACCAAGTTTAAATGTGTTGGGTAATCTGTGGAACAGCCTTGCTTATGAAGAGAGAAACTCAGGTAGTCCAGTCAGCCAAATAGGCGGCTCAGCTCCTCTGTCCTCAGTGAGGAAGGACATTCTCAGGCACAGGAAAGATCAATGTGCTTGCATCGCCGGCTTCCAGCGATTTCAGTTAGCAGGAGTGGTATGAAATGTGATTTAATTTCAAGGGAGGAAAATTGCCGCATTGGGATGAGTCTGGATCTCAGCTTTGAATGGCTAGTGGGAGACTCATGACATTTTCTTTTTTCTGGTTTGTTTTCTTTACAGGAAGAAATCATTCTTGTTTTCAGCTCTGTATGCTGCCTTTATATTTGGCGGTCGGCACCTAATGAACAAACGGGCAAAGTTTGAGCTGAGGAAGCCGCTTGTGCTGTGGTCTCTGAGCCTTGCAGTCTTCAGGTAAGTTCCCTTTATTTCACTGCCAAGATATAGCCAGGGCACCTCAGTGAGGTGACACCTGGAAGCTTTGTTTTTATTGGTAGAGAGGTTTTTTTTCCCCTTATTTGACATTTTGATCATAAATGTGATGCCTCAGTGATATAAAACCATCATTTAAGAAAGTTCACATAGCAGTTTAGTCATGGGATAATCAGTCTGCTTGGGTGGGGAATGAAGAAGAAGGAGTTGGTCTGGACAGGCAGCCAGGTGCGGTAGTGGACAGAACTCGGGATTTGAGTCAGCAGCATCTGAATTTAAATCTTACCTCAGCCACTCACTAGCCATATGAACCTGGTGGGCATGTCTCTTGATCTCTCTCAGCCTCAGTTTCTCCATCTGTAAAATGACAAAAATAATAGTACCTCTGTCCCAGGGTTGTTGGGAAGATCAAATGAGATAATATATTTTAAAGTTCTTTGCACACTTTAAAGCATAAAGTATATGAGTTAGCTATTATTTTTACCAAAAGATTGCTCCTTCAATGATTCGATTCTCTTGCTAAGGTAGTAGTGAAAAAAGAGGTAATACTTTTTGCAGTAGACCACTTATTTCCTTTGCTTAGAGACAGACAAAGAACAGAATAGAAATTTAATCAAGTGTATATTTTAAAGTCACAGGACCAGGCTAGGCTTCAGTTTTACTAGTATGTTCCTTATGCTTGTGACTCTTGGTTCAGCGAGGAGACTCTGGCAAAAGACGGTCTTGATAATCTTAAGCATCCCCTTCTGTAAGTACACTGAGATTCCCCAGAGCCAGAGGATACCTTAGCCCCTGCCACAGAGACACCTGGGTGATTCTGACGTTCAGATGTGACCGCCTGTTACCTGACAAAGAGGCAAAGCCAAGGTCTCCAAACCAGCTTCCATCTCTGTCCATGCCACCTGTCACTGAACAAACAGACAGATTCCTGGAGCCAGAAAATGCACTTCTGGCTTTGGAATACTAGGTTTAGGCAGGCCCCAGACCATTGGCAGACAGCTGGTGCTGGAGCAGGTAGCCCATTTGTCCAGAGAACAGCAGTGACTCCCCTCAGGTCTGCGCTTTGTCGGCTAACTTGACGATTGGCACATAGACTTCTTTCTCTCTCCACTCAATTTGCCTCCACCCTAATCAAATCAATCAGTCAGTATTTATTACAAACCTACCTTGTGCCTGACACTGTACTGACTTACAGTAAGGTTAGTAATCTAAGTTGGAACCAGATATTAAAGAGCCTAAAAAGCTAAACAGGTTTATATTTTCTCCTAAGGCTAATAGGGGGTCACTGATGCTTATTGAGTAGAGGAGTGATGCGGTCAACATTTGTTTAAGGAGAATTACTTTCGCAGGAGGGTAGGCTGAGATGGGAAGAGAGTTGAGGCAGGGAGACCAGTTAGGAGGCCTTTGTAAGTATCTAGGTGATAGGCAAAGAGGATCTAAACTAGAGTGGCAGATTGAAGGGCTGTATATAAGAGATATTGCGCGGGTAGAAACAGCCGGGTTTGACAGCTCATTGAATATGCAGTATGAAAGAGAGTGAGCAGTCAAGGATAACACTTTTAAATCTGAGAGAATAAAATAATGGTGGTACCCCTGGCAGAAACAGGGAAGTTTAGAAAAGGGGTGAGTTTGGGGGGAAAACACATTCTGTTTTTGACATTGAATTGTAGATGTCTGCAGGACAGATATATAGATCTGTGAGTCATCACTATGGAGTAATAATTAAACCCATGGGAGCTGATGAAGTTAATGAAAGAGAGCTTAAAGAAGGAGGAAGAAGAGGCCTAAGAGTGAGCCTTGGGGAGTCCCTCAGGGAGGGTATGAGCTGGATGGTAAACCAGCAAAGGAGGCTGAGAAGGAGCAATCAGACAGCTAGGAGACAAACCAGGAGAGAGTTGTGTTGCATAAGCTCAGAAAGGAGAAAGTGGTCAGCAGCGTCAGATACAACAGACAGAGCTGAAAGAAGGAAGACTGGGGGAAGAAAATAGAAAACATCAGACTTGCTAATTAAGAGATCAGGATAGCCAGGTGGCACAGTGTCCACTGTGGGAGAGAGCCAGTCCTGGAATCAGGAAGACTAGCTTTCTGTTCAAAACCAGCCTTACTAACTGTGTGACCCTGGGCAAGTCACTTCACCCTGTTTGCCTCAGTTTCCTCGTGTATAAAATGAGCTGGAGAAGGAAATGGCCAACCACTCCAATACCTTTGCCAAGAAAACCCCAAATGAGGTCACAAAGAGTAGGACATGACTGAACAGCTCAACAGCAAATTAGCAAATTAAGAGCTCGGTGGTAATTTGGAGAGAGTAGTTTTAGTCAAGTGCTAAGACATGCTGAAATTCTGGCAGATGACCTCAGGAGTCTTTGCCAGTTCTAAAGCCCGTGATCCACCCAATGCACTGGACGTCACCCTCCGGGAAATAAGAAGAGTGTTAAAGAGCTTCCATTTAACAATTTAATGTGGGACCACTTATCTTGACAGTCCATACTAACCGCTGGTGTAATATGAGTGCTGTGTAAAGTGGTGTTTCCTTTGGTAAGTGCTAAAATTGCCTTTTTCAGACCTCACAAAGTGAAGCTGTAGTTTGTGAAATTCAGTGAACAAGTCAGTGTTCGTCCTACCTTTCACTGTTGTACACACTTTAACGGTGTCTCCACCTTTCCAGATTAGAGTCCTAACTTTCTGTATTGAAGAGTCCCTCTACTTCCTGCATAACTTCAGGGTGATAAAACCAGAGCCAAATGAGACTTCACACATCATTTAGTCCAATGCCTTCATTTTAGAAATGAGGAAATTGAGGTCTAGAAAAGTGTAGTGAGCTGTTCAGGGTCTCACAGATTAAACAGCAGACCCGGGATTCAAACTCAGGTCCCATGCCTTGAAATTCAGTGCTCCATGTTCAGCAGTCTTCCATGGAACTACATTGTGCTTCTCTTCTTGACCTTTTCTAGAGAAGGGAGAAGATCAGGATTTCACATAAAACTACAAATGAGGCAAGCTAAGGTATTGTACCATAGAAACCACCAGGAATTTTCAAAAAGTTAGTTTATTTCCTAAACCGACTTTTTCATTAAGATAATTCTGTAATTTTATTTCACTCACATTGAATCTAATTCTGACTGCATGCATTTTAAGGAAACGTCTGTATTTTTCAAGTATTTTTAAAATACTTCTCATGATGAAAGAATGTTATCTGATGGACTAAAATTACCTGAGTTAGAAGACCTCATCCCAAAGAACCTACTGCCATTTTTTTCCTTCAGGTATCCAATATATTTTTTTAATGCAGTTGGGAGGGGGTTAAGTGACTTGCCTAAGGTCACACAGCAAGTAAGTGTCTGAGGACAGATCTGAACTTAAATCCTCCTTACTCTAGTACTGGTACTCTATCCGCTGTGCCGTCTAGCTGCCCTGTGTATCCAATAAATTTTCAAGAATAATATTAACATAAATTACTCTTGAGAAGTATATCTATTTTCACCTTGCTAGTTGTTTATGGAGCTAAAAGTGGACATATTGGTAAATTTTAATTAAAAATTCACTCATTTGATCAAGTAACTTCATTATTATTACGTGCAAATTTGCTTTCCATAAGGAAAGCTGAATAGATTTGCTTTGCTGAAACTGAATAATTTCAGAATTGTTCTGTATAAATATATGGATATTGATATCTGTATCCAGGGGATCTGTCTGTATCCAGCCGCCTGAAGATAGATATATCTATATCAAAAGAGGGTGGGCGTCATCCAGATTGCGATTTAGTTTAGAGGCACTCTACTTGTAGAACATTCCCTCTACCAGGGATCTGAGAGGTTCTATGATTTGCCCATGGTCAGAATGCTAAGGTGTATGAGAGACAATACCCCACAAGATTGATTTTCTAGTCATTATGTATGCCACATGGCCTTTTTTTACTTATGTGGCTCCATCCACAGACAAAACAATTTTTAAAATAAATTGTTTTATACAATGTTTTAAATTAAGAGAATGTTTCTGTCCTTTATTTTGATCAAAAGTACAAAAAAAACCCTTAATATTTAAAAGGGTTTTTTTCCTCTTTAAAAAATCAGTGAAAATCTTTTCTACCTCATTCACTGCTGATGAGAACTTTCTCCTAATTTTTGAAGTTCAACAGTTCATTTCTTTGAGTAGCAAAAGACTGGTTCTTGTCTTAGGCTAGGTTTGCTTATGAACAAGAGTGGAAGTAAAATTAAATAAATTCATACAATAACTAAACCAAATACTTTGTCAGTTATCTACATGTTTAACATAAAAGTGGGAGTATTTTTTGCCTGAATTATCTGTATAGCTTACTTATTTTTCATTTCATTTTAGTATGTACACATATTCAGTCTTTGTCTACACTGTGCATATTTAAAAATAATCTTTATTGATATTTTGCTTTTATGTCACCTTCATTTCCAAATATATTTCTTCCTCTTCCTCTACCCAGAGAGCCATCCCTTGTATTAAAAGAGATGGAGAGATAACAATAGTTCCTCAAAATTAACCAACATATCAGTTGAGTCTGACAGTATGTGTGATGGTCTATACCTATAGTTCCCCTTTCCCTTAGCAAGGAAAGGAGAGAGGTGCATTTTTTCATGGCTACTTTGGCGCCAAGCTTTATTACCATAATTACACAAGGTTCAGTTATCATTAGTAGTGGTGGTAGTGGTGGCGTAGTTCTTTCCATTTTCATTGCTGTATTTATTGGGAATATTATATTCCTGGTTCTGCTTACTTTAGATGAGCTCCTATAAGTCTTCCAATATTCTTCCATATTTATCTTAATCTTTTCTTCCAGTACAGTAATATTCTTTCACATTAACGTATCACAGTTTGTTTAGCCATTTCCCAATTGATGGGCATCTAGGTTGTTTCCAGGTTTTGGATACTAGAAAATGGGCTGCCATAACTATGTTGGAGTATATGAGAACTTTCTTTGGACTTCTTGGGGTACTTGCCTTCCAGTAGGATTT